CCAAAAATCGCTGAAAAATCGATCACGTGATTAATGGACGCCCATTTAGGAGGAGTTTAAGATGCAATTTTTGGTGCTCTCTAGATTTATTCAATAGAATAAATCGCATAAAATGCCCAAAATAATAGGTAAAAATGTTTCAAAAGCCAAATATTAATTAATGATAATAATTTTAAATAATAAACTGGTAAAACAGGTGTAATAATAGGGGGAGAAAGCGCTAGAAAAAAAATGTCATGCAGACGCTGAGAATCTTAAGAGCGTCCCTACTAAAAATGTACATTAAATTATTACTAAGAATAAATGTAATTTAGATATTATATAATACTAAAAACCAGTTAAAATATGATACGAGATTATAAAAGTGGGTAGAAAATCTAAGTTATAATTTTTTTATTAAGGTATGTATATGGTGCATTTGATGTGAAGAGTAATTTAAAAACACAATAATTATTTTTAGGTAAATGGTAAATATTAGTACGGAATATTAAAAAATTGTAGGCGTGGGTACAGTGCCAACGTCTGGCGGGTCATCTAGTATATATTATATATATAACCAACACCAATTTTTAAATTCACTCACCATTATGTGCAAGGCTGGTGTTGGGTGCTGCTGCAAATTGCTTGGTATATTTATTGGTTTGCACATCAGCAATCCTTGCCTGAAAAATAAAATATAATTTTGAATAAATAAATAAATATATATGTATATATACATATATATATATATATATATATATATATATATATATATTCATATTCCAAAGCTCTCCTACTATAACGAAGGACATTAAAAAGTATAGACGGTCGTGTCCTAATAAATTGAATTGAAATGAAAGGCCACGAGTCCGAGAGCGCGCCCTAGTTCTATAATCGTGCAAATTATTACATACATCATAAATATAGTAATTATTCAAAACATTCAATTAATATGAATGAGGCATTTGAAAAGCTTTAAATTAACTGAAATATTTGTAGGGCTCGTTCGTTAGGACAGCTCCTATGATTTGCTAACCTCAAATATCTGCCCAGAGGTGTTTTAGAAGCCAAGAACTGCACCAAATTTAACCGCACTTTAAAAAAATTCTGAATTTTCTAAAATTTTACGACCTTTTTATGTATGGAGTCCAAAAATCCTTGAAAATCGATCACGTGATTAACGCACGCCCCCGAGGATATTATTACAGTAGGGTTTGTGTCCTTGCTGAGAATGATTTGAAACACTGCTTATTACGATTATTTTCTTGAAAAGACAAGAGTTTTTTTGGTAAAACTTAAGTAAAAACTAAAAAAAAATGAACGAGAAAAAATAAAATCATTTTTTACATAACTCACTAAATATATTTGAAGTAATTTAGGGGTCAATTATCCGATAAAATAAAAATATTATGTTACGGGTCCATATTCGCATGAGTCGGTAGTAAAAGCTGTCAAAAAGCTAGGCATTTGTCGTGCGATCAGGCGTTTCACACATAAAACCAAAATCTAAGTAATTCGAGGTTTGTCGGTTCGATCCCCGACAAATCTGAAAAAATAACAACTCACCCAAAATTAGACCTAGATTTCCATTTTATTTAACATTGACCCCTTAGACTTTTATAAGTTATAGCGTTGTCACTGTCAACATTCATATCATCTATCTATTAAAACTTTTGCTTGCTTCGAGTCGCCCTTGAAATTGGAAAGTTCAATTCGTTTTCGCCATTGCATATTATTATATGTATTAAGTACATATTACGCGGGCGTCCCACTTGCATTGAAAACTTGACACGATTACTAACATCAAACAATAGAAACGGCGACAGATTGATAGAATAAAGATTGCGCGCGTTGGCAATTGCAAAATCCGATACAAGAGGTTTAGGAGAAATAAAATTAAAAAAAGGAATCCACTATCTATTTTCAATACCTCATATTGCCTACGATCTTCTTCTGATACTCAGGATCCTCGTGCGGCGGCCTGGCCATATCTCTGTGCGACAAAGTAGGGGGCGACGGTGGCGCCGGCCTGCCAGCGTCACATCTCTCAACTTCGGTGTAATAGAACTCTTCTTCGTGATCGGAGGAGCAGCAGCTCGAACTGGAATCATCGTCATCGATATTACCATCCTCGTCGGATAACTGGTCATCCGACAACCTATTTTCGTCGTCGATTATCCTGTCGGGAACGTCGCAGAGGGATGAAGTGTGGCGACGGCGACGCGAGTGGCGCCGCGAGCGGCGTCTGGAGGCGTTCGAACCGGAGCCTGAGATTCCTGAGTCTGGCGAACCGGAGGAAGATGAGGTTTTTGGCCTGGAAGAAGAAATAGATAATTGGTGATTGGTTGATATAAAATAGTAAGAAATAATTTTACTTAAGTTACTTAAGAACCTGAAATAGTATTATTCACTTAACCTCATTTTGAATTGTGGTCGCTGTCAAAAGTGTGTTAAACGTCATCGTGAATCACTTTTTAATCGCAGTGTGATTTTATTTAAAACCGATACACCACATCTTTATATGACTTTTGTTCACACTTTGTAAACAAAGGAAGATTCGAAGAACGGAATTTGTATAAGGGTGGCGTCACACTTGCAAACGACTGCAAATTATTTAACAAACAGAAAACATTTGAATTTGAGAATTTTAACAAATCATCAGAACAGAGACATGGGCTGTAGGTAAGGTGGACAAAAGCTACGGAAAGTGTTAGATGAGCAATTTTACAAGAAATACGTTAAATAAATAGTTATGCCAACTCCGCTAATGAATTTCTGACAAACTACCAAATCAAGGTTATTTACAGTGATCTCTGTAAAAATGAAATGCAATTTATATATTGCATCGGTTTAATAAAGGGAGAAAACATGTTTAAACTTTTTCCTACTAAAAGTTAAGGAAAAAAACGACACAGTGCAATGTGAACGCGTCCTAATATAAGAATTATGTTGAAAAGAGTCATGGCCGTGCCCACGTTTATGCGTGACGTCACAATAACTGTTAAATTTCGTCAATTTTATTCGATAAGTAAACAAACTACTATTGCAAAATTGATGACTGTTGTATATATAATAAGTATAGGATAGCACATTAAAAAATTTGCATAGGAGAAATAAGCCAGAACTTAATGAAACGTTTACAACAACATAAAAACTATTCAAAAAATTCGAGGCAATTTAAAACTATGATTGCGGAGCATATTTATACTTTAAAACACAATGTGGACTTTTCTAACCCGACAGTACTACAATTCGAACAAAATTTATTCAAACGAAGAATTATAGAATGATCTTTTTAAACTATTTACAGCAATAAAACAATAAATAATCGGAATGAACTTAACACGCTGTGCGACACAAATCTCTTTTATTTAGATAGTATTTCCAAATTTCTCACAAAACAATAAAAACACGTGCAAAGGATTCGCAATTCGTTCCACACATGTGTAGAATCTTGGTAAAAAATATATTTTAAATAGTCCTTTCTCCATTATATCTTCAACCAGTCTACGAACAACACATTATCCAATTGTGATTTTTTAAATTAGTATTTTGTGAAAATATTGTGTAATTACAAGTTTAATGTTTATAATACTTAGTGTAGTGCATTACCATATCCTGATACCATGGATTATTAAAATTTTCCAATTTAACACTAAGATCAACTAATTGTAAGTACTATTTACTATTTTATTTTTTCTTTTCACTCCAATTCAATTGTTTTAGTTTTTAATTTTAATTTTAGTTTCCACTGAATGAAGGCTAGGATTATAGCCGAAACGTATGGATTTAAAATAAATTTTTGAAAGAAATTCATGTTTTTTATTGATGTTATGCCCGATTATTAGACTTTGTTAATACATATGTCAACATCAAATTCAGAATCATACAATATATATATATATATATATATATATATATATATATATATATATCTTTATATATAAATATTCAATCCCCATTATATCTATTTGACCCATTTAAAACTAAACCAGGTCCACCCCCACCCAACTCGTGACCTATTTCCAGCGACCCATTTTCAACTACAAACTATATATAGAATAGAGAAGTGCACTGGAGGAATAATGCAGAAATAGGTCAAATGCACTACTATACTATACTAATACTCACCCCAGATGCACCTGCCTGACATGTTGCTCGATAGATTTCCGGGAAACATCCGTGTTGCCGCATCCGGGCCAAGTGCACTGGAACACCAGGGATGACGCCTGTAAATAATAAAAACAATAACTAAAAAAAGAGTGCGCGTAAAAACTTATTTGCTACTATTAATGTTTTGACATAACACAGGAAACATCTTCGCTAACTAGCGTCGTAAGCGCGAATCATGCAAGCGATCACTTTACACCCATGTCGCGCCTAAAGAAGTTTTACTTCAAAAGTTTGAAAATAAACTTGGCGTAAGTAAGAGATAATTAATATACAGGATGATAGTATTGACCTTAACTGTTCTGAATAAACTTAGTAAAAACTAGTTGATATTGGTACTATTGGTATTTTGCTTTGAGGCAAGTTACATGAACTTCGCGATATGTGTAAATAACCGACTTCATCAATAAAAAATAAACTAGTAGTGTATGGCATCGTGCCTTCAGACAAATTGCTGGAACTTCACGTACCGTAATGAAATATTCGAAAAATTTTAAACGTTTTCAAATATATTATTACAAATACTATAACTTTCATTATTTTTGCTATCTTATTGTTATATCTGAGCAAATCAAATGTAAATCATAAATCAATTATTATATTATATAATCAATTATTATAATTATATATTACATTAACAATCGTCATTTCATTTCGAATTCAATTTAAAAAAAATAGTTGCCTAAATTTGCACAAAATTGAAAAAGTGCTCCCGTATAGTCACAGTCTAAACGCATTTGCAAATAATCCTGTGCGACATTTTCACTTACACTGTGCTTAGCTAGGCGGCATTTTCACATTTTTCAATATTTTTCACAAAATTGGAAAAGTGCTCCAGTACATAAACAGTCTAAGCGCACTCGGGTAAGCATTTGTGCCAGAGTGCAAAGCTTAGACTGTGCTTAGCCTGGGTAATTTTTCGAATTTTTAATCCAAAATTACAAAAATATTTTATGGAAAATAAAAGAAGATGTAATGATTTTTTATCCTCAAAAACAATTGTTTTGTCAATACAAGCAGAAAGTTTTTTAGATCATTCAAATCGGGGACGCTTAGTTCACTCAAAAACAGCCGTTTTTTGCACGTTTAGCTCGGTATCTCCGAAATGGCTGGACCTGTCTTTGCCAAAAACTAATCATGACCTCTTCTCCCAATCATTACAAATTGAATGTTTTTTAGATCATTCAAATCCGATACTCCATTCTCTCAAAAACTCGATTTGTATTTTCTGCACTCTTTGCTCGGTATCTCCGTAACGGCTAGACCTGCCTTTGCCAAAAACTAATCAGCACATCTTCCTATCAATGGAAATCGAATGATTTTTGACTATTTCAAATCGGTTGATCCGTGCGCCCGAAAACGTGGACGAAAAAACGCCGACATACAAAACACACACACATCGATTTTTTTCTGAGATTCAAATTCAATAAATTTGGGTTTCCAAAAAAAATCCGTATTTTCAAAGAAGGCAATATGTTTTTTCAATAATCAAATTTTTCAAATGTTTTCAAAATTTCCAAATATATTAAGAAAAAAATTCAAAATGCTGGAAAAAATATATTTTTTTGTTCTGTGCTTTTAAAAATTTTAATTTACGGTACGGAAAGTTCCAGCAATTTACCTTAACGATAATATGCAAATCAGATATTTTGTAATTTAAATCAATGTATATGAGTGAGTATCAAAAACTTTCAAAAATTTTCAAAAAAAAATTCAAACTAGTTGGTTTGGTATTTAGCCTTGAGGCAAGTTACATGAACTTCCCGATATGTGTAAATAATCGACTTAATCAAAAAAATGTGTAAATAATATACGTCATTAATCCTACTTAAAAAAAACCTAAAATTAATCAGTACCATTCCCAACTATTATCTTTCGAACAATTTTTGATTTTTTAAAATCGGTTCGGTAGGATGAGCTTAAATGTGGACGAAAAGTTTAACACTTTTTTTTCAAATTACAAAGAAACGGCTTGGCAGATCGTTGCACAAAACTGACAAACGATAGTCCTCACCGAAATACATCAAATGGCTTTTAAATTTCTAAAATCGGTTCAGGCGTTTTTGAGAAAACGTCGATCAAAAGTCTAATTTTGACAAATGCCAAAAAGACCATACTGATTTTTGCAAACTTTGACGAATTTTTAAAGCTGAACCTGTTGTCGTAGGGCCGTAATATTTTAGTATGATCTAGAAGACTATGGTATCTATCGCCAAAAAAATAATCATAAAAATCGTCGAAATTTTTTTTTAAAAAACTTTATTACAAGAAAACGGCCCGGCCGATCTCTACCAAAAACTAATCAGCACGATTCCCAACCAATATCTTTCGAACGGTTTTTGAATTTTCAAAATCGATTCAGAATTGCGGGCTAAAACGTAGACGAAAAATTTTTCACTTTTCTGCCATTTATAAAGAAACGGCTTGGCCGATCGTCGCACAAAACTGACACACAATAGTCCTCGTCGAGATACATCGAATGGCTTTTAAATTTTTGAAATCGACCCAGCCGTTTTCGAGAAAACGTCGATTTACGGCAAAAAATCTGTTCACATACACACACACACACACACATACTTTTTCCAAATTCGGTCTCATTCTATTCAGAATGGCTTGAAACGTCGAGAAAACATAAAATTAGCGAATCGAATTTTTTGATGAATTTGATTTCTCCTTCGGGAAGTTAAAAAAATTAAAAATTATGCATAAAAATATAATTTATTTGTTCTGTTCTTTTAAAAAAATATATATATGTTCGGTACGGAAAGTTCCAGTAATTTGCCTTAAGGCACGATGCCATGCACCATTAGTTGTAATTTGGATTAATCGAGATGAAAGGGTATCAAAAACTTTCCATAATTTTCAAAATTTTCAAAAACAAATTAAAAAAATTTAGTTTTCAAATAAAACAGTATTTTCAAAATAGACAGTATTTTTTCCAATATTAAAATTTTGCAAACGTTCTCAATATTTTCCAAAATGTTCAAAAAAAAAATCAAAATTATGGATAAAAATATAATTTATTTGTTCTGTTCTTTTAAAAAAATATATGTACGGTACGAAAAATTCCAGCAAACAACATGCAAATCAGATATTTTGTAATTTGAATCAATCGATATGAATGAGTATCAAAATGTTTCAAATAATTTCAAAAATTTCAAAACAAATTCAAGAAATTTTGGTTTTCAAAAAAACCTCTGTATTTTCAAAACAGATAATATTTTTAATACTCAAATTTTCCAAATGTATTAAAAATTTTCAAAAATTCAATTTAAAATTTTTTTTCAGATACGTTTTCTCTCTTTTTTATTTTATTCTTATAATTTTGAAAAAAAAATTGTTTTCGTTGTTTTGCGGTTTTTCTATTAAATTTTACATGAAAAATGTTTTTAACCTTGTTGTTATTTTTTTCAGGCATATTTTACTTCTTCAAATATATTATTTTTTGTAATTATTTCAGATTTGCTGAATGATGACACATATCAAGTGTCGAAATGACCGGTGCAGTCAATACTGATTCATTTTATCAATTCAACGAATTGGCTGACGGTGTGTTTGTATGACTAATGAAAAATTCAGCCTTTCTATTCGAATTCATCTGAAACGCACTTGTGCTCGGATTTGCAGTTACGAAATGTTAAATTCCATTTTCGATGCGAAATTTAGGTCAGCGCTCTAGCCGGTGACCCGCTGACATACATCTGGCAACACCAACACCGACACCGACACTGGTAACACTTATCTAACTAATGTGCAACTATTGCATTATATATATATATATATATATATATATATATATATATATTATGTGTGTATGTATAAATGTGTTAGATAAAGATTTTACACAGAGTGCTCGTTCGGAAAATGTAGAGCAAGGGCGGGTCAGTACAAATATGGGCGTAGCTGCTTTCCATGAAGTGAAAATTATAAGACATTCCAAGATAAAACTTTTAATATTAAATTAAAAAAAACACTTTAGCAAAGTTATATACTTTGTATTTATTTGATGGCAAATGTAGAAAATTGTGAAGAAACTTTTCAAATTATTACATGTATTTTTCTAACGATTCAGAATGACTTAAAACATAGTATGACCCAAATATGCGATTTTCGTCGAAAAATTCGAGATGCTGATATTCATAGGATAGGTTCCTCCAGATTTTTTACCGTAAATCGACGTTTTCTCAAAAACGCCTGAACCGATTTCAAAAATTTAAAAGCCACTCGATGTATCTCGATGAAGACTATCGTTTCTCAGTCTTGTGCGACGATCTGCCAAGCCGTTTCCTTGTAATTTGGAAAAAAATGTTAAACTTTTCGTCCACATTTAAGCTCATTCTACTGAATCAATTAAAAAAAACAAAAACTGTTCTAGAGATATTAATTGGGAATGATACTGATTAATTTTAGATGAAATTCTACCGAGCCGTTTTCTTGTAATTAACTGTTGAAAAAAAAAATTAAGCGGATTTTCATGGAACTTTTTTTGGCGATGTATTTCATGGTCTTATAGAACTTACTGTAATATTACGGCCTCACAAGTGGTTTAATTTTAAAAATTCATCATAGTTTGAGAAAATGAGTAGCTTTTTTTACGTTTGTTAAAATTAAAATTAGACGATTTACTTAGTACGTGGTCTTAATGAACATACTAATATAAAAAGTCCTACGAAAACTGGTTCAATTATAAAAATTATTGATTTGTGAAAATTTGCTTTTAGAAAATACTCCGAGTTAACGTGTTCGTTTTAAATGATGTGTAAAAAATCCACTCGAAATACTTTTAATCGCTCATAAATTAATTCATTTTTTATTGATTAAGTCGATTATTTACACATATCGGAAAGTTCATGTAACTTGCCTCAAGGCTAAATACCAATAATAATAATAATAAATGGTAGTCTTTTTAATTTACATTTAATGAATTTCTTTAGTATCTAAATATTTTCGTTTAGTTTATTTTCTTTTCGTTTACTTTAAATTTAGATTTTTTTAAATTTTTCAAAATTCAAAATTATTTTAAAAAATGATAAATTTGAAATGGTCGGAAAATTTATTTTTGGCAGTTTGACAGTTTGGGATCTTTAGATTATTTGATTTGAAGTTTTTGTAGATACTTTTTAATATTTTAAAACTAAATATTTTCTAAACAAACATTTTTGATAAGTTTGAATTATTTTTACTTCATTTATTTTTTTTAGTT